AGGTGATGTCGGTGGTAGTCTCGTGAGATGTGATCGCATTGGCGTTGACGAAGCGGCCTGTCAGTCTGGCTTTCGCCTTCGCTACTCGCGACTTCTTCGTCGGTCTCGCCATGGCAATGTGTGGGTTCAATTGACATCCGGTTAACAACCTTGACTAATCCGGTTAATCATACATACAAATTTCAAGTGATCAGGCAGCCACCCCTAAGGCCAAAAGTTGACCTCGTCCATATATTCCTAAGAGAGGAGGGGCCAGGGAAAATTTAATATCTCAATCATTTCTTTGTATAAACTCAATCCGAGACACAAGTTCTCTTCCTCTTGTCCAGCTCTATCGATTTTGTGGTCTTAGCATTCCTACTTTTGAATCCCCCAGGAGGAATAACTTCCCAAGTGGGACTCAAATTCTCGTCGTTTCTAGGCTTCTTGCACCATAGTTAGAAAGATGTACCTTGGCCTGAAGTGTAGAATAGTTTGTGTCAAACGTGAACGACCAAAAATGGGGTGGGTCTATTCATGTGGCGCGGACTGTATGAAGAAACAACGCCAATGCCGAGACCCTTAGAGTGCATTGAGCATCCCAGAGTTGATGGCTTCACAGTGTCAATCAATAATTCGTATCAAAGCGGCTTCTTCCGCGACATTGGACACTCTTGTGGTACACAAGAGTGCACGTAGTGTTACCCCAAGGCAATGCAAACCCACGACCACGTTAAACTGGAGCCGTGGTTGAGCACGTGGGGACTTTCTCGATTGCCGAAACTTTTATCCTGCTTGTTGCCGCCCATGCAACGGGATGTACGGTTGGTGGCCATTTGGAATAACCGGCTTGACGTTGTGCAGTATCTTCAAACAATCGGTCTCGAGTGGTACAATCTGTTGGATGTAGCCGCCGTCCACATAGATCTCTTATGGACGGTTCAGTACCTACATAACCATGGATGTGGCGCCTGTGTACCACCAGCATTCGGCGGGCAATGGCAACTTGGCGATGGTGACGTACTGTACTTACACCACTATCGTGGGGAAGGCGGGACGATGGACGCATTCAGTCAATCGGATATGAGAGGCAATTGGAAGTGCAGCAGTATCTCAAACAACGTGTCACAACCATCGATGAGGAGGGACGTGCTTGACGAGGTGGCCACCAAGAGACATGTGGAGATTGTGCAATACTTGCACGCATTTGTTGATGCATGCAGCCAAAACACCATGGACGGCGAGCCATGGTCATTTGGAAGTTGTCCGTTGGCTCCATGTAAACGGACACGAAGGGTGCACCTGGAGAGGGGTGTACGACGCGGCGGGAAATGGATATTTGGACACAGTGAGACTCTTACATGGAACTGAGGGATTGCATCACTTTTGGGTGGGGCCAGTCCGAGTGCCGGCCAATTCACATTGTCAAGCACAGTCAGTGCGGCTGCGAGGAACGGACATTTGGAATCTGTGATGTATTTGCACACCCACCAACTGTCCACGTATTCCTGAAACTCGATCGGGTGCAGCTTGATACTACGTAGTACCTTAAGTATCTACCTCCGAGAATTAGCCAACCAAATGTCTCGGAGAGGCGTGCAAATCTCATCTTTCATTGTAACTGAACTTGGACACTGCATCGATTTAGAGCATTTACAGCAGACACACGACGCATTTGGCTGCTCAAGCGGTAATCCCATTTTCGAACGGCCAAAACTCGTACAATTATCAAATTTCATCTGAACAATGGTGGAGTGTTGTACAGTGCTAGATTAGGCGTTCAAGTACGTACAAGTCGTGAAGTAACGATATTGGGGCCAACACATCCTCCATCGGTGTAGGTGTTAGATTTGCAGTTGTGGTGGTTACCACGTACTCTGAACATAATTGGGGATGACTGAGGATTATGATGTATATGCGGGCGAGTGGACGTCACCAATGAGATTTCCCCACCACGTTCATTGGTACGTTCGTGACAAGTACGACACGGCTCGAGCCAATGAGATTGCGCCAAGGATACCGTTGGCCCGATACTTGTGTCCGTCCAGTCATAAGTTCGATATCTTCCGCAGACAAAGATCGTATTGTTGGCTGCCTTGGCCACCACCCATTGAAATTCGCCCCCCGTTTGTTTGTTGACTTTGTGGAACGCATTCAGCGAACAACTGAAACAACGACCCTTCGTCGTTACAACGGGATCCTCCAGTCACTTTTGCATTTGCGACGGCGCACAATAATGACCGAGGGCCCTGTGTCGCAATACGTGGGGGCGACGACCCCCAAGCAAAGCGAACACCTTTATGCATTTTCAGCCAACAACGACCCCCCTTTGCATGGAAGCGGACTCAGCCCCCGCCGTGGCCACCACGCATCAGCATCCCCAATATCTCGTGTTTTTGGAATCCTGGGCCACGGAATTGTGGGCCTCTTGTTGGTGCTGGCTGTGCTCACGCCCGCGGGGTACAACTTCCCCTTGTACGCCCCCACCTTTTCGACCCCCATGTCCACGTGGTGGGGCGTGAACCCCAAAGTCAAGGGATCTGGCCATTCTGAAATGGTCGTTCCAACCTACTTTTTCTTGGGCACCGTGTTGCCCGTGTTGGTGGCTGGAGTTCTCTTTGCCTTGGTCCAAGTCAAAGCCCCCGTGGGGTCTCCGTCCCCATTGTCCCCATTCCTGCACCGCAAGCCCAAACTGTTCAAATCCATGCTCAGCTACGGCGAGATCCTATTCATCGCCGTCATCGTCACGGTCAACGTCCTTGTGTTCAACTACCAGTTTGTCAAGCGATACAAACCCACAAACACGACCGCAGATACGTTCAAGAACGTTGGAACTGCGCTTGGGTTCACTGGCCTTTTCGATATGGTACGACCGATCAAAATTATTTCATTCAAACTCCGTTGACATTGTGGTTGATATAGGTACTCGTGGCCTTGCCAGCAACCCGCCACGCGTTTTGGATGGAATGGCTCGACATTCCGTACGCGCACGGAGTCAAGTACCACAAGTGGATTGGAGTGTTGACCATTGTCGCATTCGTGGCCCACACGGTTTGCTTCGTCGTGTACTACGCCATCGTGGGCAAGTTGTACAAGTTGCTGCCATGTGTAAACTGCGACATGGCTACAGACGGCATGGCGAATTGGGAGTACTTTTTCGGGATTCTGTCCATGGCATGCTTTGTTGTGATGGGCGCCACGTCGTTGCCGTACGTGCGTCGCCACCACTACACGGTATTTTACGCAACGCACTTTCTATTCATCCCAGCCACACTATTTGCCGTGTTTCATTGGGGCAACATCATCTACTTTCTCTTCACGTCCATCGTGTTGTACGTGGGGAACCGCATGCTATCGCAAGCTTCGATCGTCACCCCCGTCTCGTTGACGCGCGCGGTGCAATTATCGTCGGACGTGGTCGAACTTTCGTTTGAATGTGCGACAGGGTACAGCCCGGGCGACGCCGTGTGGATCAAAGTGCCTGCCTTGTCCAAGACGCAATGGCACCCGTTCAGCGTCGCGTCCACGCCTTTAGAAACCCCCGACTTGCTCACCATCTATGTCAAGAATCTCGGCTCGTGGACCGCCGGTCTCCACGAGTACATTGGCCAATGCCAAGAGAAGAATGTCCAGCCCGTCATCTACATGGACGGCGGCTACACATCGGCGGCGCCTATTCCAGCCACACACTCGGACGTTGTGTTTATTGGGGGGGGCATCGGGATTACTCCGTTGATGGGCCAGCTCCTGCACATCCTTCGCAGCCACCCCACACAAAACGCATGGCTTATCTGGAACGTCCGTCGCAAGGACATGTTGGTTGCGTTCCAATCGTGGTTGCACCATATTGAAGTCCTTGGGGGAAGCCGGTTGAAGATTCGATTGCATGTGACTCAAGACGACACGACGAGCTTCGACTTGGACACCCACGACGACAAGCCACGTCATGCACGCTACGTCGACGGGCACGTTGCTGTCGAGTCACGTCCGTACTCACACGTGAGCACGTTCAAACGAGTGTGGATGTTGCTGCTCGCGTTTGGATTCAGTGGAGGACTATTGGTTGCGGTCACATTCGGCAACAAGATCCAGTCCAACCCACCACGGCTGTGGTTACTCCAACGATTTGTTCAGTTCTGCGTGGTTGTGTTGGGGTGCTTTTTGGCGTACTGGGTCATCAAGTATGCCAACGGGCGATCTTCGCAGCACCAGTTGACGGGTGTCGTGTCGTCGTCATCTGGTGGTCGTGACGGCAAAGTGCACTTGAATGCAGACGAAATGACTGCCCACTTCAATGTACAAACTGGCCGGGCGAACCTAGCCGACTTGTTTCACGAAATCGAAGCGTCGAGGGTGTCGACAGTTGGAGTTTATGTATCGGGCCCAATGAGTTTGATTCACGCGGTCGATTTCCACGGCCAAGGCATCTCCAAGTTTCACATTCGACACGAAGTGTTCGAGTTGTAAGCAGTGTTGCCGTTACGACGCGGTCGGCACTTGTATTTTCATTAACTAGTAATTCATAAGATTTGTTTAGACTTTGACTATTACGTAGTACTGTACCACTCCGTCCCAAATTACTGCCACGTTTTGATTTTTGGAGTCTTCGAATTTCATGACTTTTAGGAATTTTATTATTAATTTCCCTTACTTCAGTTATTGACGCATCGAGCAGCGAGCACTGCCTCTTCAGAGCATGCTAACACTCGAGGCAAAATACCTAATCGTCGTAGACGCTCCTTTCCGATGTGCTGGATTGCATAGTCGTTCCCTCCTCAACAGAGCATTATTTGCTCCATGCACAGCATCCACGAATAAAACACGTTATCTAGAGTCTCCTCACTAAGCTCAGTAAATGCACTGGACACGTTGGTGATAAGGGCGTCCACTGTTTGCGCAACTTTTTGCTGCTGTAAAGCCTGGATTGCAGTAAAAAAACCAAGGTC